GCAAGTATCTACGAGTCATCTAACTACCCTAAGGAATTAGGCTGTGTTAATGTCCTTTAGATAGTACTATCCCACCATTGAGAGGTAGGTAGCACCACCGTTGGAGGTGTTCGGGTCAATTCGAGGGTTAGGGACAGTGTGGTCACCGAGCAATAGTAAGATACCTTAGAAGCTACCCTTATGCCATTGATCTTTTTATTCCGAGACAACCGTTTCGAGGCAACTATTCTGAGGCAACTTGTTTCGAGGCAACCAGATCAATGGAACATAAGGACTCACTAAGACGTCCTATACTCGACGACCACGTTTCGAGGGGCAAGGCAACAGTGTGATCACCAGAGAAATAGTAGGACACCTTAGAAGCTACCCTTATGCCATGTTCATGGACATAAGGACTTACTAAAATGTCCTATACTCGACGACCACGTTTCGAGGGGCAAGGCAACAGCGAGGCGTACCCTAGGAGTGGTGTGTGAATTGTGTGTCATTTTCAGTTATTATTTGTCTTGTCATGCATTTGGTGAGCTACGCTTTGATTTTATTTGGGCCATTCATTCTTTCATGTGATTAGCAGTTAAAAGGTGCAGAAATTAAAATGCGGAAAATAAAGGTCCTACGCAATTACAAGGCGCGGGTCTATACATCGCCAAATTAACAAAGAACCGATTTTAAATAAAAGTGAGGAAAGTAAATGTCCTAATTATTATTACAAGGCTTTGGGGCAAGTACATAAATTTCACAAAGAAAAATAAAATAAACGCGCGAAGAGAAATTATATTCGAAGGTGCGAGGGCGTTGGACCCTTTAAAGGAATTAAATATTGAAATTGAAAATTAACTAATGATTTAATAAGAAAAGAAGTTATTTTTTTTTATGTTTTTGTATTTAATGGACATAAAGAAAATTAATTGGATTTTGAAATTAAAATAAAAGCCTAGTTCTAAGTTTGTTTTTAATTATTAAAGAAAATATTTAAGTTTAAACCTAATTTACTAATTATTTAATTACAAGAGTATTTACAAAAATAATTAATAATTAATAATGATAAGAATAAAAAGGAAAAAGAAAAAAAAATACTAAAACCCTAATTTCTATATTTTTTAATTATTAAGAAAATATTAAAATTGAAAACCTAAGTTAAACTAATTTGATTATTAAAATTTATTTACAAAACTATTAATGAATTAAAAGTTAAATAAAACATATTTTTATTTTTTGTGATTTCTGATTTTTTTGTGTTAAAAATTATTTTGTGGAATTAATTAAAACAATAAAACAAATTAAAATAAATAAAAGAGAATAAAAAGAGAGAAAGAAAATACAAACAAGGGGGTTTCTGGCCCAATTATGGAGGTGTATGGAAATTTAGGCCCATTAGGAAGCTGGCCACATTGACTTTTCCCACTTGGATACTCCTTCATGGACTGAGGAACATGATGGATGCTCTTTGGTAACCATCAGATTGAATCCCTGGGCGCGTGGCAGACCAGGGGGCTGGAGTTGTATGGTGGTCTTTAGATGAGAAGCTGCATAGAAACATGTTAAGCAAAATAATGGAAATAATTTGAGGGGACCTGGGATTCGAACCCAGGTCCCAGCATTTGCCAAGCCACCTGCCTACCAACTGATCCATTGCACGCGTTTGTAAGTAACATAGAAATGAAATAATATATGGAATAAAAACATTATATGCAAAAAACAAAAAAAAAGCACGCGTGGATTTGAGCCCTCCACTCAGGTCTTGCCACGCCAACCTTCTTCTCCGTTTGCCCCTGTAACAAAAGAGATAGTGGGGGTTTTAAACCCCCCCAAAACGCAACCTGCAAAAAAATAGCGATTAGGCCATGCTTGGCCATAAATTGAGCGCGATGGGTCTGTTATGTTCGTTTGGATGTCACGATTCCAACCATGGTAATTGGATGTCCTAATTTTACAGTATGTGCAAACGCCTAATTCCAAACCTCTGAAACCCTAATGTTCATCAATGGCAACTTTTGATATGGGATGCCATTGCTCAATCAAATAATACCAAAAGCTTCAGGATGTTAGTATGAATGTAAATCAATTCAAAAAATGTTAAAAAAACGCATGAATGATCACATAGGATTCAAGAGAAAAAGCAAACCGTTTGGGCCTGAGTGCTGAGATTCTGGGCACGTTGGGATTGGCTTTTGATTGCAAAAGTTTCCTTGAGATGCCAGGAGTGTGTTTTGATGGGAATTGGGGCTTAAAACTTGCTGTAAGGAGGTTTTCAGTTTTCAAGTTTATGTGACAATTTTTGCAATTTTTTATGGCCGTTTTTGGAGCTCTTAGATCGTGTTCTTGCTTGTGTTAGCTTGTGTACATGTTATGTAATGTGTTTTGATAAGAATTATGGCCAATAATGCCTTGCATTCATGCTTAGGATTTTGACATAAACTCCATTAACACACCTTCCATTTTTGAGCCAATTTTGAATTCTTGCTAGCTTTAGCCCTTTGCACGAATTTGGGATGTGCATAATGGTGGTTCAAAGCTAATCAAATCAAGATATGTCCCTTAATTAATCTTTTTGATTTTCATTTGATTTTAAAAGATTTAAAATTAATTAAATCCAATAAAATCAAATAAAAATGAAAAAATTAATTTTAAATATTGAAATAAAAAGTGGGACACGTGGGAAGCATGGCCAAGCTGATTCAAGTGGAAAAAGTGGGCCCCTTTTGTCAAAAATGAAATTTCAAAGATAAATGATTTTGGCCATTTCACAAAAATTTCTCAACTTCTCCGATGCATATCTTGCTCAATTTTTAAGCTTTGATCATGTTCTTGGACATTTTGGAAAGGTCTTGAAGTCCTCTAACCAATTCCTTTGGTCCCATGTCATTTTGATTTACCAATCTCAAGTTATGGTCTTTGACTTAAAGTCCATTTTTGTTGACTTTTGAAAATGACCTATAATGTTGAAATTGATAACTTTTTGTGAGAGCATTTCTTGGACTTGGAGTGTGAAGATAAGTTGTAGGAAATGTATTCCCCTTAAATATGAGCATTGGATGGAATTTTTCTGATGAACTATGAAAAAGTTATGCCTTGGTCAAGTTACAGTTGACTTTTCAGTTATCCAAAAATAGAAACTTTTGCATCTTGATGATTTTTTGAGCCATGCTTTGAGAATCATGATCAAGAATTGATCAAATGATGTTTGTGGCTTCAAAATAAGATGTTGAGCAAAATTTTTGACTTTTGACTGTCAAATGACCATTTTGCCCCTACAGTTGACTGTGAAGCAATTAGGGTTTTTTACTGTGCAATTTTGTGCTGTAAGTCTTGAAACTTGGCATAAGGATGCTTGACAATGTTTATAGGCATGTGGGACTTGTTTTGACCCTTGGAAACTTCAACTTCTTTGCCAGAACCAAAACCCTAATTTTTGACTGTTAGGAGGCCATTGGATTGTGCAACCTTTGGGAGATTTTGAAGCATGATCTTAGCAAACCTTGAAGAAAATGGGAGGGAAAATTTTGGGGTACAACAGTCGCCCTCCTGTCTAAAGATCCAGTTGCCTCGAAACGGTTGCCTCGGATAAAAAGGATCTAGGACATTAGGGTTACCGCTAAGGCGTCCTACTATTGCTTTGGTGACCACACATGTCCCTATAATCGAATTGACCCGACAAACTCCAACAACGGTGCTACCTACTTCTCAATAGTGGGATAGTACTGTCTAAAGGACATTTACACAACTTAATTCCTTAGAGTAGGTAGATTTCTCTAAGGTACTTGCTCTTTCAAAACAAAAAAAACCACTTTTCGCACCTACACTTTCAAAAAGTTTTTTTAAACAAACATTTCATACACTCTTGAGGACTGATACAAGAGTTACCTAGAAGTTTTCAAAACAGACTTTTTCAAAACCCACAAACACAAGAAAAGCAAACATTTTTGAAAACATAGTGAGCAAGTACCTAAGAGCCCGTGGATAACCACAGATAGAAAGGGTGCTAACACCTTCCCTTTCTATAATCTACCTCCCGAACCGAGAAACATCTCGAAAAGGAATTTTGCTGTGCTTTTGTCCTTTCCTTGTTGGAGAAAATAAAATACGGTGGCGACTCTTGCTTACCGCGACATTTCGCGAACCAGCATTTCAAAACAGTCAGTTCTATTTCCACCGATCACACAGATCATCAATGATCTTGTGAAATTCTCTCAACTTCTCAAATATGGATTTGTTCTCTACCATTTGGAATGTGTAATGTTGTTATTTTAAACATAACCTGTGAGCCCGAGACTTGGTCATATTCAATGTTTTAAGTTTTACCCACATCAAAGCCATAATCTTCTCCTTGGTGACTTCCCTAAGAACTTTATCCCTAATAAAAAAGATAGTGACACTCATGGTCTTATCCACCATCTTGGTCTTCTCTGCTTGTGTTAGGCATGCAAGCATCAATGACTCACCCTTCAATGATTCAATATACTTTTCTTGAGTTAAAATTGCTTGCATATTCACTTTATGCAATCCAAATTCTCTGTCTTTGGAAAACTTCTCAAACTTCCATTTAGTACCCACGATGCTCACTTGTAAACAAAATTCATTCGCCTCACAGTGGACACCACTTGTAAAATTGAAAGGATCAATAACACCAAAAAATTTATTATGGTGGAAAAACGAACAATGACAACCGAAATAAATGGCCTCCACCATAAATAACTCTCTTTGCAATGCGACAACAACTTAACTTAGCAAAAATAATTTTCTTTGCAATAAGACAACAACTTAACTTAATAAATGACCTTTAGCTAAAATAGCTTTCTTTGCAATAAGACAACAACTTTTTCAATTCAACTAATCGATCTACTATATGGGAGAGAGCAACTCTCTGATTCGCTATACTTCTAAAAGTTATTATAAAAAATTACAAATGAGTTACAAAAAAAAAAAATAGTCACCCAAGTTTCCAAGAACAAATCATATTTTCTACCCAAGTGTTTCTCAATCTTTCCAACTTTCTATATATGAATCACACAAGTTCAAAGTGTTTACCAATACCGTTTACTTATCTCCAAGGATTTTTCAAATTTCAAGAATGCACTAGAATTTATCCATACCTCTCTAAGATTATCATTGAGATTTTCAAACCCTTTTCTCGATGTTCAGCTCAAAGAGATAAGAATAACGAACATAGATATTTAGAACCTGATGAAACCCAACATATATTTAACGGACTCAAAACACAATTCATTAAAAACAAATCCACAAAAGCAAAAACAACTAAGCATGATACACAAGAATTGCCTAGACCATATACAATACTCGACAGACCCGAATCACCAGCCAAAGACCCTCCACCGTTGTCACTCGCCATAGCTCTGTCATGAACCACCGTCGTCAGTCAACCTCCACCGGCACTCTGCACCGCCATTGAAATGCCTGCCTACGATGCCGATGCCTTTTGCAAACCTCTTAACTGCTTTTTCTTCGGCTTTCTAATTTGTGGAATCTCAATAAACTTCTTTCCTATTCATCACTTAATATATCAAGACATATTTTAACACATTCATTTGTTTTATACGGCTTATCTAACATATTATTCCGTCAACTAAATCTTTATAGAGATTCTGATAAATAGTTAAAAACTATTAGTACATCTGTGTTAAAAAGAACAAACTAATAATACATTTAAATAGAGTTACGAATTTACAATGTATTATACCATAAAGTAATCTGAAAGGTACGGTTTCACTTTGTGGATTACATACAATAAATTGAAATTGACGTGTTACTTTCATAATGATCACAAAACTATATCATAGTGGATGCCTGATTAAATAAAATATCAAAGTGGATGCTTTATTGATTGATTTTTCAGTTGATAAAAAGCGCATAAAATTATAGATTGATTTGAGAAAGAAGTGAATCATGAAGAAAGAGACCCACTATATAATAAACTAAGAAAATGATTGTGACAATATATTTGTGTACTTGTCTTAATCAATCAAATTAAGCACCAAGTGGAGGATTATATAGTGGAGGAGAAGGAATGCCGAAAGCATTATTAATCTTAGAGCATTTCACATCCACTAAAGAAGGGGCCAAAAGAAAACATCAATTAGAGCTAATCTTCAAAAAATATCTTATTCATGAAATTTCATAACCCGCTAAAAACATGCTTAATAACCACATTTTTAACCACCATTATTATTCTTATGGTTGACTATTATTTTTAATCTTAGTTCACTTTTACTTGTTAATTGCAATTGTTTGGTGTATAAGTAATTCATTTATTCTTTATTCCTTATGATATTAATCTCAAATTACTCCAATAAATTGGTACAAGAGAATTTGACTCCTTTCTTCCATCAACCTCATATCAAAATCAACTGTAAACCCGAATACTATTTTAAAATTATTTCATACGAATCTTCCATTATTAGAAGATGCTAGAGAGGCGCAAAGAACATTGCATCGCGAGAAAAGAAATATAGGAATGAATTGTTCTTGATTATTAATGCGTGGATCCAAATATATTTGAGAAGATAATTATAAAAAAACAACAAATGATGTGTGACACACAATAAAAAAAAGGTCAAGTTTCATACATTAAGAGGTTAATATGAAATTCTCATAGTAAATGGACAAGAATGAGTGATTAAATTTTTCACGAGATTAACGATGGTGTCTAATCAAATAAAAACATGTGGATTTGTAAATGAGTTAATGAAGGTTGAGAAGTGTTTAAAAAACTTAAATCTACGCTTTTATTATATTGTATGTGAAATAAAAGAATCAAAGCACATTGTTGCAATAAAGATTAAAAATCTTCAAGCCTCTATAGAAGCACATGAGTTGAGAATGAAGTAAGAAAATAAAAGAAATATTGAGCAAACTCTGCAAGCCAAGATACATAAGAAGATCAAGATTGATGAATCAACAAGTTACAAAAGAAATGAGAAGTGGAAAAAGAAAGAAAAGAAGGTTTGAAAAACCTTAACAAAATTGAAAACGTTATTACAAAAACAAAATTGCATCTCGACTGGAAAATTGTTTCACACCTCGAATGAGATTTTGATGTGATGAAGCGTGTCATAGAAAGTGTGTTGCTTTTCCTCTCGAGAAATTGACTGAGGTGAAACACTCTTTCCAACAATTAGAATACTGATCGAGGTGAAAAGTGTTTAGTCAGGGGTTCAAATGCCAACAACGATATTTTGGCATTTTTATAACGGTGTGTTATACTGACTTTTTTCCATAGTTGGAATACTAACCGAGATGAAAAACTCAACTTTCTACCACGGTTGTGTCTTTAGCCGAATGTGATAGGTTGAGAGTGGTCACTTTTCCTCTCGGTGAGAGATCCAACTGTGGGGAAATACATTGTCTTTTTAAAATGTAATTCTTTTAACTTTATATATTTTTCATTATAACCTGTATTTTTATGAAACAAAAAAAGAAACAGCAACAAAGCAGACAAAATTTGTGAATCAAAACTAAAATGGAACACATTTTATACATTATTACATCAAACAAAGAAACAATCAACGGACAAAATTTGTGTGCATTTGACTCATAAATCTAAAGAAAGCAAGATGCACAACGCGAATGGACATTTTTTGTGACTGTTTTTAAACACCTATAACTTAAAATAATAACACTTGTTAGTATAAAAATTGTTGGCAAACATATAAAAACACTTAGAAATAATAACAAACAATAAATCTTGAATAAACAATAAAAAATACCATCTTGTTAAATTTCCCAAATCCCTTCTTGATAATCATAATGAATAGCACAAACATATTCTAAATCATTTTCTTCATTTGAAATACACACATGTGTTGAAAAAGAAGAGTTATATGGAATATAAAGAGTTAAATATTGATTTTCATCACTAGAAGTAATGTATTTTCCTTGGAGAAAAACTGGTCATATAATGTCAGAAAGATCAGTGACATAAAATACTTGTTTTGCTTGGGATGTCATGATGAATGATTCGTTCTTATAAGTTGTCCTGTGAAGGTCAACCTATGTGAATCCTAACTCATTGGTTTATACACTAGAGTTACTATCAATCCACTTGCATTTAAATAAAAGTGCCTTAAATAAAATAAAATAAATCTCTGAAATCTTCTCAATGACCCTAAAGTACGATATAAATGCCATTACATGATTCTTATCTTTCGAACTATAGAAGTACATGGATTCATCCTCAACCATAACCCCACATGGATGACACTAATGTGTTGTTGTCATTTATAAATTTCTTCTCATATAAGGGATTATGCGTGATATCAAACTCCCGCTTTCCATTAAAAGCCTTATGTAATCTACGATATAGATGATTAGGTCTTAGAATTTTCGGATGCCCAATGTAAATAGTATTTTCCATTCTATAATTGATAAGATCATGTATTATATTCACATATATGACACAATTTATTTCCTTTGACGATGTACCAAAACAAATTACCAAATGCAAGAAAGTCATTGATTATGCAAAATAACATGACACACATCTTAAATTTTTTTGCCCGAATACACATCATCAACATCAATTCCTTTCTCCCATGAAACTCATAAATATTCAATCAAAGGACTTAGATAAACATCTATGTCATTTTCTAGTTGTCTTGGCCCCGAAATTATCATAGATAACACTATATATTTGCGCTTCATGCACAACCACATGGATAAGTTGTAAGTCATGAGAAGAATATGCCATAAAGCATGGTTAGTACTTGGATTATCAAAGGGGTTCATTCCATCATTGTCAAGTCCAATCTTAAGGATTCTTAGCTCATGAACAAAATCTGAATCCAATAAATTATTTATATTCCATTGCAAAGAATCATCTACATGGCAAAAAAAATTCTATTGAATACTCTTTCAAATACATGGCATATACTATTATTTGTGTCATTTACATTAGCAAACATTTTCTTGAACCTTGGAATTATTTGTAGGTACAACAACACTTTGGAAGGAGAAACCTTATTTCTTACATCGTTCACCCATTTTTTCCTTCAAATTAAAATTTCTTAACATCACTGACAATCGTGTAATTGCACCCTGGATATAACGACTCTTCCTTGTCACTACATAAATTATCATACACACGGGATTTCCTAAAAGAAACTTCTCAAATATCATGGATTATATCTTCTAGTCGATCATCCATATATACATCAACTTCATCTCTATGTGACGTTGTTGTGTTTTTATCTACTTCACCATCCAACATCCATACTATATAATTTTTGACTAATTCGAACATAACTTAGATTATTGGATATGTCTTTCTTTTCAAAAAAATTCGTATTCCAACATAAAACACAAGGATAATAAAAGGTTCAATTATTTTTGGGGAGTTTTCTTTCAATGAATTCAAGAAATTAAATCACTTCATTCTTATACTCCGCATTTAATCTATTATCTTTCATCCAACTATGATTCATAAATACTCCATGAAAATAAAATCAAAACTCTTATAAATTCATGCATTTTTAATGAAAACTTTATTGAGTTTCAAACTTTGCTAAGTCATATTATAAAATTAAAACATCGGTAAGTCATATTAACAAGTCTATGTCTATATTAAATTAGACAACAATTAACCTTCAATCTCATTAACAACATTAGCAACAATAGCATAAAACCTTAAATCTCAATAAAAACAACATTAAATTTTTTAATTATCTCAATAAAAACAACAATATAAAATCTTCAGTCTCAATAATAACAACAACAAAACTTTTACTTATCTCAACAAAAATAACAATATAGAACCTTCCATCTCAATAAAACAAAATCATCAATAGTAAATCTTTTACTTATCTCAACAAAAACAATAACATATAATATTCAATCTCAATCTAAACAACAGTAACAACATAAAATATTTAATCTCAATAAGGTTCTGCAACTTTATCTCTGAGTTTTGATGATAACAAAGAGCATGTTTGTATGAACAATTTTGGTACTTTAATGTGTGTTACTTGTGAGTATCTAACAAACAGGTTCTGCTTCTGATGAATGTCCTGGCCAAGACATTAGAAGAGACAAGTTCCACTTCTGTGCTACACAAGTTCTGATGAACAATAGCAAGACACTCCAGAAGGCTCTGATATGAAATCTAAAGAAACTAGTCATAAGATCTGAAGACAGAAGTTCTATTGAAGTCCATATGCTAAAGACTCATGTTTATGAAAACAACGTGTTCTAAAGAAACCAGTCAGAAGATCTGAAGACAAAAGTTCTATTGAAGTCCAAATACTGAAGACTCATGTTTCTGAAGACAAAGGGTTCTCAAAGACCAAGTGCTAAAGATTTTGAAGACGCGGTTCTAAAGACTTTGAAGACTTGAATTTATGAAGACTCAAGG